AAAAATAATTTGTAATATAAATGTATGTTTATTATTATACTAATTTATATTATAAATACATTAGAGAATTTATTCAGAGGCAAATAATGTATACAGATAAAATAAATTGGTTGTGTAATAAAAACATCATTTTTGAATTTAAGTACTTTTCAAATGTATTTTATCAATATTCTATAGTTGTATTTATGTTTAATAATTTATTGCACTTTACAATAAATAAACAAAATTATTGTGTTGCATTTAAACATATCTATATATATAAATGGCTTATAAATATAAATACTAAATATCAAAATTATGCAAAGAGAAGAAACCATTACTTATTTTGTAAATATTTAATATTACAATTTAACCAAAATAAAATAGATGCAATTAATTTTCATCATAAATTTAAAATATTAGTTATTAAATAAATGCATAATAATATTTATGGTAATTGATCATCATTTAAAATATGTACTAAATAATTTTAAATGTTTAATATTAAACACAACATATAAATTTCAAAAATCAAACAATGGTTAATGTTATTACAATTCTATTATGTAAAAAATAATATTTATTAAAAATTAAATTTTTAAATATATAAACTATAATAAGATTTAGTAGTGTCCATGGTGAATATGTTATGGAATATAACCTTATAATATATTACTAATATGTTTTTATTCAAATTATGTTATTATGCTAAATTTTAATCAATAAAGTAAGATATTTACAAGAAACTTTATATGTTCATAGTGTAACTATATTATATTTTTAAAAAATCGTTTTCCATTTTGCACACCACAATTCATCCTAATTTAATAAAATAAAATTACAAAAGTACCATTAGGTTACACTATAAAACAGATGTATTATTAGTATTTAACAAAAAGCAAATTAGGTAAAAACATGATCTAACATTGTAATATCTCATAAAATGTTACTTTGAATTAGAGATACTAACTTATAAGTATCATTTATGTGAAATATAAGATTTGAATATAATATTTAAAATTTAAATATCAATTTATACAAGTAATTAAAACATTATTTAAAATTTGTAATAAAATTATTAAAAGAATTACGTTTCAGTACTTTTAAAATGAAAAGATTATTTTAATGAATACCATTCAAAATAAGTGTAATTCATATGTATTTTCTATTTTCAATATTTATTACGCTATATAGTGTTTATTTATGTTTATAACTATCTTCTAGCATTTGCAGTCAATGTGTTGAATAATAAATGTTTCAGTTAATAATAATTATAAATTAAGTAATAATTGACGTATCTATTCCATATTCTAACCAGTCCATAATGTAAAATTATTACATTTAGTTTACCTATAACTATTTTCTTTAAGTTTATATTTCTAACGTTTAACAATTTATATCATATATTTTAAATAGGTCATTATATTTTAATTAATAATTAATTAATTTAACTAATATAAATTATTTACCTCATGGATATATAATAAACCAGACCAGGAACTTTTAGTATAGCTCCTTTAAGTATGACAATGGATATTTATTCTCACCCTTAAAAATATATTAAAACCTCTAATTTGAAATTTTATAACTTTAAATTCATCAAAAAAATAATTTAAAATGGCACAAAAAAAAAACAAATTTCTATCACCATTTATTGTTGATTTGCAAATTATAAAAGATTAAAGTTGTTACTAGTTATTATTTGATTTGCAGCATAGTAGCATTTCAAATGTCTTGTCACTAAGACCATTTTTTCTAGGTGTTAACACTTGAATAGCTTCACTAAAAAGTCTTTCCACAGGGACTGATGAAGGAATAGTAGTGTTGTGTTTTAAAAAAACTTGTTTTACAATAGGATAGTTTTCCAGCATACAAAGGTCCTTATTTTTAGAATTTAAAAAATTCAATGCTTGCACAAGGGAAACATCAGTAGATCTAAAATTATTTTGATCTAGTGGTCCACCAGAGAAAGATGTAGAGTCATTATTTTTTTCTTGTAAACAAGAATAAAATTCACCATCACTCAATTTACTATCACTTTCAGAAATTTCTTCAGTTGGTTTTTGAACAGTATACATATGATAACATTCGTCCAGAAACAGTTTTTTGCATACTTCCATATAACGAGGTGGTATCCAACTTAATTTAAATTTAGGATGACTAATTGAGGCCAAAACAAAACATCTACTCTTGGGCAATGATAAATTAAACAAATAGTTAAACCTTTTTTCTAGACTAAGAATTATTTTAAGACACAAGGGTGTGCAGTATTTTAAATTTTTCAGTCCGGTTAAAGAGTGACGTATTACCTGAATAATAGGCGCAACATAGCCTAAAAAACAGTATTTTTCACAGTGCATTTTATCAAGATAAATGGCTAAAGGTTCCATCACCGAGCAATACTCCTCTAAAAAAGTCCACTCATTTTTATTTATTTTTGTTAACTTAAATTCTTCAAATATTTTAACAATTTCAATTTTGTATAAAAAAATCTTTTTTGATGCATCAAATAATGAGTTCCATTCAGTCACTATAGGTACAGGGAACTTGCAGTCACATATTTCTAAAATTTTATCAAATGCAACTGTACTCCTACTATATAAATTCCAAAAACTTGACAATTTTTGAAATGTTGATTCAGATATTTTGTTGTACTTATCATCTTCAATAGTAGAAATATCATGAGTTGCAATTAGATTCAAGCTATGTGCACAACAAGTAATATGTGGAGGTAAAAATAAACTATCATTAATTGTTTCAAGTTGTCCTGGGTTTGAGAGTACAGTATTAATATTTACTATATCTAGACTAGAACATTCATCATTTGTTTCACTATTAGAGCTACTTACATCATCATCTTCATTAAAATTACCCGCAGTTGTAGAAATCGATTGAAGTTCAGAAGGTAAGGCTTTAGAAAATTTTCGAAAAGATTTACCGAAATTACTTGCATTATCTGTTACAGTATGGGTTATTTTCAAAAGATCTATTTTATAATTATCAGTAATATCAGTCATAACCTCAACAATTTTAAGATAATCATGACTTCCTTTCATCCGCTTGCATCCAAGAATGAATGATTTCCGTTGGTATGTATTTTCATTAATGATGTGACATGTCATACCTAAAATAAAACAATTGTTTTAACAGTGATATTTTGAATTCATATTGTAAATTAAAACTCATTCTCTTGAATAATAGTTATTGAATATAAATTTGTGGAAATAAAACAATTGTGGGACAGCAAAACACTCTTTGATACCTGAAAAAAACTTTCAGAGAAGCAAATGTACCCCTGGATACCCCCTAGTGATGCATATGAACATTTATTTCTTTGGAATCAAGTTACACATTTACATATACATATAAAAAATCAGTGATTACTTACCCATATAACTCTTGTTGTTTGTGCTCCAAATATCTGCAGTCGTGCAAATATATTTATGTTTTTTGAGTAAATCTGTCAACATCGCCACATACGCTACATAAGTATATTTTAAATGAGATCGTATTTGTCTTCGATCAGGGATCATAGAGGTGTCTTTCAATCCAGTTAACCCAATTATTAATTCCCGAAATGTCTTTTTTTCACATGTAATTAATGGACACATTTCATTGACAATATAGTTAAACACTAATTCTTTAATCTGAAATAACATATTTTATTTTACAAATTATTAAGTAAAATATTTAATAACCTTAAGATGTAGATTTGTGTTAAATAAATTAAGTAATCCATGAATTATATTTATAAGCTAGGTATTTATTATTTAAGTGTAAGTACCAGTGTATTTTCATTATTCACATACTTAGTTACTAGTTACTACCTAGTTAATGTATTATTTTACACAAACTTTATACACTTAATTTAATACCTACCCAATAATTATTACATTCTTAATTTATAAATAAATAGGTTTATTAGATCAATCAAATTTCTTGTCTTAGAATACATCTAAGACTTTGATTAATTAGTTATAAACTAGAAACCATATTGTTGTTGACTTTTTAATTTCAATACATTTAAGACTATTATATATTTTGTATAATAGTTAAAAACTTTAATAGATTCTTGTATAATAATATAATATTAAATATACCTGGACATAAATTAAATTATTGACAAGAAATACCTTTTGTTTTGTAACTTTATTTGAAGAAACATCATTAGTAATAATTTTTGTCTGCGTGATATTTAATGACTGATTATTCTCTCCCCTTCTCGCAATTTCAACTTTTGGCATCAAAAAACTATGCTTTTTCTACAAAAAAAAAAAAAAAATAATAAATACAAAATTAGGTGTCTAATTAAATAACCATCTAAAAATGTTATATTGATAAAATTAATCGACAAGGATAAAATACTTAATAGGTATGTAACAACGTTTTTACAATTATTGTTTAACTATATTGGTAATTGATAAAATGTTATTTTTTTTACAAATAAGTTTGTTAAATAGGTCAAATTGACAAAATAATATTGAATAATAAATATCTAAATAATTAAAATGCATGTATTGTAGTCTGTGGGTAAGTACATAGTCACATGGATGAGATTTTAAAAATAAATGTTTGCACTTAAAACATCGATAGAAAATATAGATGGTACCTACTACCTAGTAAGTAGAATTAAATAATGATAATTAATGTACCATGTACTATTTGTACTTACTTTAATATGGTTTAATAACTTCCCACTGGATGATGTAGATGCATTTATAATTTGTTGACAATATTTGCAAGAAGCCGATAGTTTTTTACCATTTATTGTAAGTAACTTGTAAAAATTATTGAACAAATATTGAAATTTCGGAACATTGTTTGAGAAACTTTGTTGAAGTTCTTGTGTTGATGTACTTGCCGCAACACTAACAGGAACATTAGGATAATCAACATTTTTATGAATACGTATTTTTTTTGGTTCAGGCTTTGATAGTTTAGTAATACTAATATATCGCTCCACTTAAAATAATATAATTATTTAATGGATAAATACTTTAAGAAATGTACAGCTAATCTAATATCGAAGTAAGTATACGTTCACAGTTCAACGTTGAGCGACGAGTGTTCGTTATCGTTACTCGTTAGTCGTTAGCAATTGAATAATATTAATGTAAAAATATTATTATATTATTGTTTGTAAAGTATACCTAATATTATTATGTTCTAAGCTATTTATGTTCGATTTACCCTCCAGACCTATCGCCTCGACATTCAAAAATCAAGATAATATTATAACGCAGTGGACATAACGTAAAGTTGTGATTTTGTGAACGTCTAGCCCTAGCGAGACAGTGCCGAATGCCTATGACTATATTATATACTTTATGTCTATATAGACTCTTGCAGTCATGTCTCGTAATAGTCGTAATAGAATATATTTATTTTTCTATTACGAATTCACGAAATAATGTGCGCCGCTAGACGAGGTTTTTACATGATAATATTATTTCGATTTATATAAATAGACAAGAACGATATTATTTTCTTGAAACCATTTCTATAAAAATTATTTATAGTAATCAACATTACAATAATAAATAACAATCGCATCCGTGTCAACAATAATATATTGAGATAGTTTTTTTTAGTTTTTTCAGTTTTTTTTAGTTTTTAGTTTTTAGTTTTTTTAGTTTTTTTTTAGTTTTTTTTTTTGTTTGTTGTTGTATAGTATATGTTGATATACTATACGTAAACCAATATTATACTAACTGCCAAGAAAAAATAAAAATATTCATGTTTATTTTCAATATTTTTAGGAATAGTGTAATAATACTTTGTTTGATCAATGATATGTTTACTAAAACATGCTTAATAAAATTAAAAATTAATAGTACCAAATTACCAACAAATCAATCAAAAATTCAAAACTAGAAATTATTTATTTATCTAGATAGAAATATAGTTTATTTTAGATGACAATCAGATATTTAGTATCTTATTTATTTAGATGAGATAAAGATGCTATAGTTTTATCTAGATACTGCTCAACATTGCCATTAACATTCCTAATATGTTAAAATTTAAATTAAGTTGATGCGAAAATGATGCTGCTTGTGTTACCCATTCAAACCTTTTAGTATGAGTGATGTTCAGCTTCCGCACTGCTAAATACTTGGTATAAAGGTCTCTTAGAGACTAGAGTAAGTTTATTTTTAGGAATTAACCTAACCCTGTTTTTTGGTTGTATCATTTGAAACACTATATAAATTTAAGTATATTATACATAAAATAAATGTAAAATCCAAATGCTATGCTTACCCTTCTTGTACATTTTCAGTATGTACCTCGATTAGTTGATTGCATGCAGATAACTTAATCTTTTTGGTTTTAGCGATATTAGCACTGTCAGCAGTTAAAGTCATTTTTCTGTTAACTATAGTCGTACAAGAATCTTTAAATTGAAAAAAAAACCTTATTACTCAGCATATGTTTTTCCTATAATATCACTTTTATAAATAATAAGCCAACCATGAACCAACCAACCTTGCGTTTTATTATTCAAGTTTGCATATCGGAAGTTTTGTAAAGCCATCAAACAAATGTCATCACTCGGGGAACTTTCATCAACGGCTGATTCGACTTGGTTGTTGTGAACGACGGGAACATTAGCTTCAGGAAATAGTTCAACCCCTTTAACCTCGACATCTCTGCGTAATTGAGTGCCGCGAACAAAGCCTATATTTAGTTAATAAAAATAAATAAAACGTTAAATTTAAAATTTATTAAATTATCTTGAATTAATTGATGTGATCATACCATGAATTTTTTTCAAATGTCGCGACCAATTAGACTTATGATTGAATGTAGAAGTACACTCAAAGCACGGATATTTGATTTCCATGTGTAAATTATTTTTATGTTCAATTAAACTGTAATTATATTTACTCACAAACGAACAAAATTCGCAACTATACGTTTTTGTCTTTCGACTCTTTCGCGACTTCATTTTAAAATGATTTAAGTAGTACGATCAAAAAAAAAAAAGAAAGAAAAATAACAAATAAGTATACACGAGAATCGTAGAAACGGAATGAACGCGATAATACGATAAGTATACACGAGAATCGTAGAAACGGAATGAACGCGATAATACGATATATTATGTGTTCGGTCAGTAATGGATTGAAAACAATATAATAAAACAATCGTCATTCGTCAATGACTGGAAACACTGCACTGTCCATTGTCCAATATCCAACCATCGGTAGTCGGCGCCAGGTTTCGCTGTCGGTCGGTTTACTCGGTTTGGGACATGTCGTTATTTTTCGGTGGTGGTGCCAGTACAGCCATGGATTACCAAAGTATTTTTGCGATATCGATCACGTTGAACGCATACAACCTAGTTCGTATATTATTTCCCATTGGTTTGGGAGACACTTAAAGAATGAAGAGACGACGTCCAATGTGACTCGTATCTCTGATTCAGCGGGAGGGTTAAAAACATAACGATCACGAAACGCGATAGAATCGGTACAATGGAGGGGTTGGTGAGCATTTTCGATACCACCAACTACATCAGAGATTCCCAAACACTATGGGTGGTGGTGACTCAAAAGTTGGTCCCGATTATATTTTTAGTGTTATTTTAGCGTTATATTTTTAAATAATACATTTTTTTTTTTTAGACATATGGTCATTGATTCAACATTATCGTGGGTCACCAAAATGTAAATAATTTCCAAAATGGGTCGTGCCATAAAATGTCTGGGAACCAGTGGACTGCATCACTACTCCGTCCCAATGTGTGAAGAAGACACCGCCGCATTTAGGCACCATCATATTGAGAACTACTATTCGATTTATTCAATATGATGAATTCTTAAATTTATTTAACGTCTTTTATTAAAATTCGTCAAAAAGGTGAATATTAATACTGCAAGTGTTAAAATTTGAAATTTATGTGAACAAATTCTTTGTATACAGTCGGGACCACGAAAAGTGATGCGTACTCGTCGTGATCCTAGCGGTAAAATCGTCTAATGTGCTCTCGAAACTCTAAAATCAATAGGCTCGCAATTTAAAAATACGCATATTTTCATGCTACGTGCACGAAGGGCGCGGCAATTTAAGAACCAATGACAGCTGATAGAGTGAAGGGCAGTGTATAACGAGGGTCCCTCGCCGGTTTTCGTACACTCGACTATAAATGATATTGAACTATATTCTTGCGGCTACAACTCATTGTGCGCACATTTACCTTTTTTACAACTTGTTTACTCAAAAAAACACAATTCGATTGCGCACTTATATTTTAGCTACTTGTGACTAAAATCCCTAGTATTAAATTTCGTTTACGTACACATTTTCCTTCTCACTTTAACAGGCTTAGGACTGTCTGCTTCAAATAGGTGTGATTAAAAATGTGTGCTGAATGTGTGTGTGTGTAAATCGTTATTTGTCATAGTATCGTTACAGTATAGTCAATATAAAAATATACTACATTTAATATGTAGTGTCACCGTAATTATTATTATTTTAAATTAAATTTGTATAATGGAATTTATTTCCAATAATTTTTATATAAGTTAAACGATCAATAGCTATATTTTTATATATATTGTAAATATTCTTCCTTACGTACAGTTTCCTTTCTTTTATAATTCATTACACTGTTTTGTATTGAGTTTATTTTTAAATCTGTTTCAATTTGAATTTTTTTGTAAATATTGTAGTAGGTAAACTATTTTGTACTTTTATAGCTTTTATGATTTTCCTGAAAATATAATATTGACAAAAGTTAGGTACTTATTTATAAAATGACTTGTATATTTTTTATTTGAATTCTAGAAATTGTTCTTAAGAACCTTAAACCTCATTACTTATGTCAATAATAAATAATACACAAACAAATATTTATATTTTACAAAATTCCAACATACTATGTTTAATTAAATTATTTCTATTTTTATACCTAATATTGGTTAAAGTAACTTATTCATTCCTCAAAAATTCATCTTAATGGCTAAGCACGTCAATAATGTTTTCATTACCACTTAATAGAAAACTCAACACAAATATTTAATAAAAAGTATTATTCTATAGTTGTATTGCATACACTTATAGTTGTATTAACCTAATAAGCTCTTAGAATCAGACAAACTATGCTTTTCTGACATCTTTATTGCATTTTAATAAAAATGTATTTCATATAATTATCTTATTATTTTTAATTAAAAGACAAAACTTAAATATAACCATTTATTAAATGATCTTATAAGTTTAAAACTATTGTGTAACGAGATAGTTTATATAAACATAAATAATCTATAAACTAATATTATAACAAGTTATGAATTTATGTTCCAACTATATAATTTTGTTTAACTTCATACATTTCATATGCAGTCTCTTCATGATGCGTAGGATCAAAATCAGCGCCAATATAATCCAATTCTAATTGAAAAGGGCCATCAGATTTATCTGATACCGTAATACCAAAATGAGTAACTCTGTATAATGGCAATGGTGCTTGTTTATCTTGTATACGTCCTTTGCTGGCAAAAAAGAATTTTGAAAATGGTATCTAAAAAAAATAAACAATAAATTATCATGCAATCCTTTATTATTACTTAGATCTATAAAGTAGTTAATTATTAAATAATAAATCAAATTACAGAAAACTATATTGGAAAAATTATACAGTCCAAAATTTACAACATAACTTTGGTTGTATGACATATTATCTAATTTTTATTAGTTTATTATCAAATCAAAATTAATTTAACTTAGTTTGGTAGAAAAGTATTGATAATATAAATTTTATTAATACAGAAAAAATGTTAAAATAAAAAATAAATAAAACAACCAATTTCAGATATATAAAATTTGAAATATTTTAATAATATAACAGATACATTTTTGCTACAAGAGGAGAACAATATAATTCAACTTTGCGGTTAAATTAGAAGTATTCAAACTATGCATCGCAGCTCCTAAGGGTGTCATGGAATTTAGAGAAGAGAGCCACGTTACAGAACCAAAAACTAAAATTAATATAATATAATCATTATATGTATAAATATAAATATAATTTATAACCTTTTGAGCGATTATTGAAGCAATGACGAAATACACGTGACCATGTAAAGTTTTATTTCTTAAGTAATTATTATTATCACCAGTATTATATCCATCGAATATCGTCATTAAATTATCAATACATATGTCACATTTGCCGGTGTTAGTTGTGAGTTGTGTCTGTCTATTGACTATCATCAGTTTTGAACACATGTGAAATTACAATACCCAAAATTGGCCAACAAAGCTTTGAAAAATCTTTTGTTACTTTATACCTATGTGAGACTGGATTTTCTGCATTAGCTGTAATTAAAACAAAATATCGGCCAAAATTGAACGTTAAGAAGAAGTTGAGGATAGCTATTTCTAAACTCAAACCAAGATTTGAACATATTATGAAACATAAACAAGCTCATCCATCTCACTAAGTATTTATTTATTAATTTGTATTGTATTTAATTTAATTTATTTAATTGTTTTTGTTTCATATAGTCATCTGATAAATAAATAAATATAATAATAATATAACCACTGTTTTTTTTGACATTACTAATTTGGGAGTCGTCAAAATAGTGTGAAGACACAAAAGACACGTAAAATGAAAGAGTTAAAATACACCTGGGTTAAATCAAAAATTTAATTTAAAAGATATATATATGTTAAATTGATGGATAAATCTAAAATTATAACTTCCAGTACAATATTTAAGTCAAAATGCTTATTCTATTTAAATACTTTTCTTAAGGAGAGTTTCATAAAGACTAGTCAAGAAATTTAATAACTAGTTATTAAAACAATAATACTGTTAAGTTTTAATAACTCTTCAAAATATATATTATGTTGTATGAAACAATAAATTGTTAACTAATTTTAATCAGTTATCAGATAAATTATAGACTTTATTAGATAAAACTCAATAAAAACTTTGATAATTAATTACTGCTCTTATAATTATTATATTATTAACTGAACTGAAAATAGTTACTGAACCAAAAGGAGACAGAGTAGCCAAGCGGACTAAAGCGTCGATTGTGACGCACACCGTCGCTGGTTCAAATCCCAGCTATGCGTGGCATTGCTCTCTGGGCAGGCAACTGTCTAGGTGGCAAGGCTGCCATCTCCAAACTGGACATGGCAGAAACCTACGAGTGCCTAACTAAAAATTCTGCCAAAAAGGCATCCAAACTAAGCTTTCAGGCCTACTTCCAGACATAAGCGCCATATGCAAAAAAAAAAAAAACTGAACCAAAAATGGATTTCTATACTGTAAGTTATTACATACTTTTATACATCCTGTCTTTAATAGCATAAAATCACAATTTGAACTTAAAGAAACATTATTAATAGTTTCAAAAAAATTTAAATTGACTAGATCATAAAATATTTTCTTTTATTGGAGAAATTGAACAATTCCTTACAGACACTTTAAACAGTTTAAACACAGAATATAAATTAGCTAATTTAGATTAACAAATTCATTTTTTTTTTTTCAAATAATAATAATTAATTTGTGTGATTATTGGAAAATAAAAGTATAATAGGCCTTAAACAGATTTAAAGCAATTTAGATAGTTTGTTAATAGTGGCCACCTATCAATAAAATGCTACAACAGAAGAACAAATGAGATTGTTTTACTGAAAACTTATTTCCAGAACACATTAACAAACATTGGTCTTTAAACTTAATCTTAAGTCGAATAAGATACCACCTTTGTATCAAGCAATTTATAAAATATTATTATTCTCTATATTAAATAAAAATATTAATTGATAAAGTACAACTCTTTTCATTTCACCATCTTGATATAATAACGAATTGACTATTGTTAATATACAAAAAAATATTGAATTTATAAATAATTTACATACTATAAAATTAATCTTAAGCTTTTGTCACAATTCAATTGATTTATACTACAGAGACTAAATTAAAAACATGTTTAAAATGTAATTTAAAATTAATTTAGTAAGAATGTAGATAATCTAATGTAATTTATAATTATTACTACTTACTCTTGTGGTTTGCCAATATGGCCCACCTCGAGTATAAAGCACAAATGTAAATACATCATTCCACATTATATCAAACTGTCCAGACACATGTATGTTTATTAGATAACTTCGTCCATCACCTCTTAAACGTAAATTAAGATGTGTGTAAGGACTCCAGTCTAAAAAACTATCACGTTGAAAAGATTTCTGAAAAAGAATTTTAAATATGAACAAAACGCAATAATTGCTGACCAATAAATGTATGATATATAAAATTTTACAGAAACACGTTTTGTTATCATATTGCAATAACCAGAATTTTGAATTTTTCCATCTTTTGGAACTCTTGAACATAGATTTCCATGAAAGAGTCCACAACCTTGATGACTTATTTTTAATTCACAATTACTAAAACCTTCAGCATGATCACTATCACTAGTGACAATCCAATGATCCAACGAAGATTCTTCGTGAAATCTCCAGAACACATCCACTTCTCCTGAAACATACAAACACGAAACATTATAAATAATATTATATTCTAATATAGTACAATAGAGAGATTGATTCTGTAACAAGGGCTTTTGTGTATTTTTTGGTATTTCAATTAATGTAAAAAAAAATTATACAACTGTCAATAATCACTTAATTAACAGATGGGTACCTGCTCTGTAATCGAGTATGGGGTCACTGATCAAGACCTCTTTCATTTCATTTTTCCATAGTTCGATTTCTTTTTTGAGCTGTTTCAGACCCAGGCGAATTCTCTCGGTTCGCGATTCAGCGATCTCAAACCCTGTGTCATAGCCGCTCCGCTTATCATACTCGTGGAACTCAAAAGTCGCGCACGACGTGTGCACCCGTCGCCGTCGTGTCCAATCTGTCATCGCCGGGTGGATGCCAAACGGATCTTTCCAACGGTTCCGGGATAACACTACGGTTAATATTTTGACACGCTGCATCGTAGTCGATCACTGGACATAAAAATCGACTTTCGGTATCCACAGTGCAAAACGCCCGCGTTTCAATTGCCGGGCGCACAATGGAAAACTAAACGCCAAGCGAGACGAACGTCTCATCAGGTTTTCAAAATCAATTGTAACTCGTAACTAATAAACTAACTGACAAATCGGTCTCTCTCGTCGTTCGTAATTCTTATCGTTTCCTCACGGCATTCGGCAGTCGGCACGACGTACGGTTGATAATGTTATCGGTTCGTCTTTTACCGGAAAATATTCGATGCTCCAATAGTTTACAGATTTTTATCATGACCGTGATTAATCCCTGCTTGCCTGCAAACATATGTGGTGCGATAACAACAGTACAGCAATATTTTGGTCAACACTAACGAGTAAGTTCGTAACCACGTTCGTGATAACACAGAGATAAGCGACCGTCGGCCGGTGACACAGCCTTGTGTTTTCCACTCGTACGAGACACGAGTAGTACGCGACATTTTAGTTTTTACCTATTCCAGTTCCGAAAATTATGATTTATGCCTAAACCGGATCCCTGTAAGAAGTTAGCTTGCGCTATTCAAAAATGTCTATCTGGTGAGTATAATGACTATATTACCGTTTAATATACTATTATTATATACCACCCACCATAAGGTCGTACTTACGGTGGAATCATGACTCATCCGAACGAGTTTTTTCTCATTCAGTTTTTTACACCTCAATTAATACGTATGTGCTCACGCTTCAAAATCTGTACATCTGTGATTTGTATACACTTACATAAACGCAAATAGATACCTGTTTATATGAGTATTAAAGCTTAAAATGACTTATATTCAGGAACGATTGTAGGTTTTACTTTTTGCTAGGACATAAATACCTATACTTATAAATAAGGTATAGACACAGTCTAAAATTCTTTCTTTTTTTTTTTTACTTGAACCAAAGTATTAATACTAAAAAATATTTATATATATATATATAAAATACTTAATGATGAATTAATGAAATAATTTCACGATATTTTATAGTATATTATCAAACCATAATATTTTAAGAATTACAAAAAAAAAAGTTAGTATGTATTTATAATAACTGATGAGTTTGATTAGCAAGGCGTAAAATAAATTATTAAAATACTAATAAAATATTTTCATTCTTTCGCCTGATTTATGATAATCGTTTACTTATCTAAATGTCATGACATTGAAATTTTCAAAGGGTAAACATCAAAAAAATTTAATTTGGAACCTGCATTATTCAGCTTATAGACTTAATCCGCTACTACTAATATGCTTTTTCTATCAAGACACCAAAGAGATCATTTATTAATTTGTCCATATGAAACACAACTCATATAAAGGTCTGAAACATGCTAGTTTAAACCAATATAGGTATGAGTGGTTGTAGATTTTAAATGAATCAAATATTCTTATATTTGTATAAAGAAAAATCCATTGACCTAAAACTATTTCATAGTCATTAAAAATGATATTATATTTTACTATATAAATGTAAAGGACCAGTTCAGTGCTCTAAGTCAATTAAAATAAATTCATTTATTATGATAGTAAATAATTGATTATGTTAAGAATATTTTGTACAATACTTGAGTTTATAAGCTTGAATTTTGTATCGAACAAAATTTAAAACAATGTTAGGTACTAATCATTTCATCAACTTCGATCTGATGATTTAATTAATCTTCAAAGTAGCTAAAGCTTAGTGTGTCAAACAAAAACTAAAATCACTAGAATATTTATAATTACTATTTCTTCTTAATGTAAAATAAGTTGGTTACCTGTCATTTGATTTTATACTTATCTATAATTTTATCTTCATAAGTTTTTTTTTTTTTTTATCATAATTTGTTTAGAATACAAATGTAAAATCTATGTTTATTAGTATATTGTTAAAATTTTTATTAAACTGTTAATAAATATTGATGGTACCTAGGCACTAATTATTAATTAAACGTGCTAAAATTTAATTTAATTAATATCTTATTGGATAAGAATACAACATAATGTCATAATGTATTATAACTATGTTTAAGAAAAAAAAAGAATTTAAATAATGATATTTATTCACATTTTTTTTATTATAGAGAATGATTTCCAAGAGTCTCGTTGTACAAAACATATAGACAATCTACGAGAGTGTTGCAAAAAATTTCATGCATTTTCACTTGTGTGTTCTGGTATGAAACCTAAAGAAATAACTGAAGAAAACCAAAATATTAAGGTAAAAAAATACCAAAATAAATTATTTGTACAAATGTTTTCTACTTTAATACAAAACCAGATTCTAATCATTAATTGCATTAGAAATAATAATTTTTAAAATTATATTAGGTATAACGATGATGTTAACGTGTTTTTTTATAATATTGTCTTGAAGGGTATTAACATGCATGTATGTGTTAGTACCTATCAAATTTTTTTTTCATTTATAAACTAACATAATATTTATTGTACATATTTATTTAGAACATGTTTATACATCATTGTTCTGGGATACAGTGGTCACTGCTTAAAGTAATCACTTTAAAATAGGATTAAAACTGATAACATTAAATAAAAGTTGAAAAAATAATAATACATATATTAAATCAAAAAAAAAGTAATGTAATGTTGCATCGAGTTTAGTTATTAATAAAATATTATTTATTACTATTTAAAGTATGTAGATCTACAAAATTCAAAATTATTTTTAAAAAAAAATTATATATAAATACATATGTACATATTAATTACCTACTACTAACTTCTACAAATTTTTTTGATTGATGTCTGTATTTTTGTTCTGTTAAAAGATTGTTGATAAAATATTTGTATTAACGATGTAATTCTACATTTGATAAATGATTTGTACTCATCTTTGTAATACTCGTAGAATCTTCTTCATTTTAGAAGAACTTGGAGATTTTTCGGTATTTGTTTTTGGCTCGAGCTCAATCTCTTCATTTTCAATTTCTACAAATTTATTTGTTAGTAAAAAAGCATGTAAAATATCTCCTTTGATAAAATTTAATAAAGTAGGTATGTTTTCATAGATTTTCAACAAATTTTCAAAATCAAAGTCTATTTGTTTATCTTCTTCTTTCTCCTCCTCTTTGATGCTTTCTGCAAAACTTCCATGTTTAAAACAATTTTGTATTCTTGTATTTGTCACTTGGTCCCAAGCCATTGGGCTGTAAGATGTAATAAATCCAAGAGATTAATTTGTTTTGCTAATTAATTGGTTAATCATTTGTATATTCTGTATTGTCAGAATTTCTTTGTGATGCTACAATTTTAATGTGTTTTATAGATACATTAACTACACGTGAAGGACAGTTCTTAATAAGTGGAACAATTTTATTATTTGTTTATCCCACTTTATTAACTATTTATTAAAAATAACTGATGCCATCCAAACATTTGTATTGGCATAATAATCAACTGGTAAACATTGTACAGATTTAAAATAATGGAGATTTTTACTTTTCTCTAAAGCCAAATTTTTTTGTTTATTTTCTGACACACTCACAGTATAGGACAATGATGCACTCTATTGATATCTTACAGCATTTGCGTTTTCATTTTTGAATAAATAAGTATACACAGATAAATCATCTTAAAATAACCCTGTTTCATCGACATTATAAACATTATTAGGCATATAATCTGAAATAATTTTTGGCCAATCAATTTTTATCCATTTTTCTATTATAAAATCTGCATTTTTTTGTTTTCTGTATGTTAATTTGTATAAAATATTTTCCAAATCATTCTTTTGTGGCAATAAAAATTTCTTTATACATTATTTTCACCAGGTCTTCTGCTTTTTGACACAATATTATACCTTTGATGTGAGCATAATTTTTCCTAACATTAATAAACTATAATAATAATGCTGATTCAGCCCGTTTTTCTTTCTTACTGCGCTTCCTCTTTATGTTTGGATTTTTATTAAGTGTTGCTGAATTTTCTATTATAATTTATTATTTTAAAATTTATACAGCAATGGTTGAGAAATTTATAGTTTTATAGCTGCTTCTCACTGTCCCATTTTTGGTAAATTGTCATAATGTTGTAGTATTGAAATTTTTTCATTAACTGTTAAATCGTTTTCGTTTTTCATTCATTTTTTATACATACACTACAAGTAATACTGATCATCGGGTCACAACTTCTGTCATATTGGTATATGTACGAAACATAAAAAGTTGTTTAGACATTTGTTGTATAAACATTTTGATCTTTATTATAATAAGCTATTCAATAGAAACTTTGATTATATGTTAAATATTCCTAGTACATAATGTTAATTTTATGATCTCAAATTTATAACATTGTTCGTGATTATAATAAAAGACAACTACTATGTATACATTTTTTCCAATTTACAATAATTATTAATCAACTTTCTGAGAAGCATTTGTATATTTTTAATTTTCTCTTCAAAGATTTAAAAATGGAATACATTTTTCTTGCATAAATTAAAATTGCTTATAGTTTTTAAATATTAAAAAAAAAATGTTATATATGTAAACAGGAATAATATGTCAGAAGATCAGTCAAATCAGCGACATAATTATCAACAATTTTCTGATAGAAGAAAATTTAAAGATTTGCCATTCTACAGACGACACCCTAGAATATTTGTAGTAGCTGGAAGTACAATTAGTTTTTTGATCTTATTCAGTAAAGGATTTTATGATATTCTTAAACCAAATACTTCAGAAGATATAAAAAGGAAATTAACTATCGAAAAAATCAAACAATTAAATCTTCAAAAAGAACTTGAGTAAGTTATGATAATTTATTTGATAGTTATTTGTATAATTACTTGACTTTGATAAGAATAAATACTATTGTTTTGAATTGAAAGTATAAAAGTTATGATAACTTAATATAAATTAATATTTTATTATTACAGATCAAGAAAAACAACAGAAACACCAAAGTGATGGATGCAGTTAATAAAGCGAAATCACGATTTAAAAGATATCCTGAGCTTTTACTAAAATGTCGAGTTGAAGGCTTAGAGTATGCTGCGTGTATTATACAAAATGAAAAAGATTTAAAACCTAACTCTTGTAAAACCCAATTCATGAAATTTAGGGAGTGTTTGACTTCAAATGCACTAAAGCTTAGTACAAGAATTTAGATGTGAATTTAAATTAGTTGTAATTACTAGATAAATAATATGTATTTTATTTGGCATATAGTGTTAGCTTTCTTTATTAGAATATTTATGATTCTTTTCTCTCAATGGTATGATAATGATGATACGGGTGTTCATTATACCGACATCGACTACAAAATATTCACAGATGCAGCTCAGCATATGTGGGAAGGTGATTCTCCGTATATGAGACCAACGTACAGATATACTCCATTAATAGCTATGTTACTTATACCCAATATTTTACTACATAATTGTTGGGGAAAGCTATTATTTTCAGCATTTGATTTAGCAATTGCTGTTATTATACGTAAATTAGTTTCAAAATCCCATCCTGGTCTTAGTAATTTCTGTGCTTATTTATGGTTATACAATCCTTTAAGTATTGTTATTTCAACTCGTGGAAATGCTGATTCTATATCTTGCTTTTTTGTCCTTATAACATTGCTTGCTCATATCAATAGTTGTTACATACTATCTGCAATTTTTTTTGCAATATCTGTGCATGTGCGGATTTATCCCATTATTTATTGCTTAGTATATTATTTATCCATTGATAACAAAAATAATTATGCATCGTTTTGTAAAATGATTCTTGGTCGGCTTTTACCTACTCGCAAGAAAACATTATTTGTTGTCGTATTTGTGTTATCATTAATTGTATTAACATGGCCTTGGTATTACTTTTACGGCCAACAGTTTTTGGATGAAGCATATTTATACCACAGTCGTCGATTAGATGTGCGTCATAATTTTTCTATTTATTTTTATTTTAATTATTTAATATCTAGCTTTGACAAAACTTCAATAATATACAGTATAGCAACAAAACTTCCGACATTAATTCTTTTAGTGTCCACGTCATTCAAATTTTCCTGTACCAAAGACTTACCTTTCTGCTTGTTTTGTTTATCTTTCATTATGGTAGCATTTAACACTGTCATGACTTCTCAATATTTTGTTTGGTTTGTGTCATTTTTACCATTATGTTATCCGTTTATTAACCTAACATTTATTGAAATTATAAATCTAGTTATGATTTGGGTAGTACCTCAAATTGGGTGGCTTACATCTGCCTATTGCTTAGAGTTCTTAGGTTATAATACATTTCAATTAATTTGGGTTGAATCACTTATGTTTTTTTTGTCCAATGTTAAAGTTTTATCAATAACAATTGATTATTATAAATGTAATAAATTAAAAAAAAAATTGTAAAATAATTATTTTCATTAAGTATAAAGTTGTCTTATTACTATCAGTTTGAAAATGTTTATAGTTAATTTTTCTTGTTTAAATTACAAAACTTTAAAAATGTTAAATAGTTTTAAATATTTTAATAATAAATCACTATTTTGAATCAAATAATTGTAATTTATCATATAGATAATATTATAGTATAGTTTACTATGCTTTACCTAAATATTTTTATTTTTTCTGATGTAAATTCTTATTATAACTAAAATATTAGTCTGAACAATCAATGTTCTATTTAATGTATTTTATAAATTGTATTTTTCTTTTAAAGATGAATTATCAATAAGCCAAAATATATTAAGCTTATCTAATACATTTGTTTTTGAAAGTTATGAGATAGCAAAAATAATTATTAAAAAGAAATAAAAAAAAAAAGTAATTTTAATTAAAATTAATACACATACATAACATTGACTTACATAAAAATTCTACTAAAGCATATAATTTATGAAATTACACATTCAAGTATAAATAATGACAAATAATGATTTAAGATGCAGAGTAAATATTTTATTTTATTTATTAGAATAGTACGTTTTGACTTGAAGTTTTCTAAAATAAGTTATTTACTTATACAATTGCATTCAAATTAAGATAATTGTGAATTTTAACTTCAATTTAAACTATAACAATGGCATACATTCATAATATAAATCTTTTGTAGCTGTATGATTTCTCACTAAATAATATAATACTTAAATGTAAAATTGTAACATTTACCACAAGCAGACACACATGATTTAACACAATAATATTAAAATATTAAATAATGAATATATATTATAGGAATCGTGAATCATTATAAAAAAAACAAACTTCAGTCTTAGTAGGAGAAGGCTCATTTAAAATGATTTAACTTTGATTAAAACCTTAAAATAATTTTTAATATAAATAAAAAGTAGCTAAAATTTTGTTTACAGAAGTAAAATATTTATATTTGAAAGAAACAAACTATTTAATTTTTTTTTGAAACTTCATTTCAGCACAATAAGTATTTAAAAAAAATTAGACAAGCTTTCTTGGCATCACTTTTCACAAGTAAAAATAAATATTGGTGTTTAGTGTCTATTAACATATCTCGTTTACATCGTTAATTTGTATGAAGTAGCTAATGATAAATAAAATTACAGTATACTGCTTTGAACTAAGGTGTACATACATGAATACTGATAGTTTCTACCATTAACTTTAACTAGCTTAAAAAAAAAAAAAATTTGATTTTAATGATTTTGAAAAAGGTTATTCAAGGATAAGGTTGATTATAAGATTAATGATCATATTTTTTTTTATAATTGAAACAATTATAAATCAGCCTCAAAAATGACAAAGAGAAAATCTAAATAAAAATTCAAAATCAAACTTATTGATTCTATAATCAATGATATAAGATATAAAGATTTGAATTTTCTGAGAAGAAAAAATATGAAAATAAATGAAATTCTTATTGCTTTGCCTAAAATAAAACCGTTTGTGGTGTTTATATTCATGAAACAAATATTGAAATATATCTATCTATAAATACAATAATAATTGAATATTTATAACATTATTTTGGAAAAATCTCAAATATTTATACTTGGGTATTGGAAAAATAACAGTTTAGTTTAATGTCAAATTGCATATATTATATTCCTAAGAGTTGTTTGATATTACTATACCTAAATATAAATTAATAAGTATATGATAATCATAAAGACTTTCATAAAAAAATTCAGCATAAATCTTTTTTGTTAAAAAACTTATAAATTTAATTTTTAAATTATTTTAATTAACATGTTATTGTATAAAAATATTTGTTATGATTTATTATCATTATATATGAAATAAAAATTAATTAATTAATTAATTAAAGTTAGTTAAAAAAAAGTATGTGTTTCTTACTAGTCACTACCTCTTAACTCTTAAGTAATAAGTAGCTTTGTATATCACGCACTACTTAAATATATATATTCATATAAGTATTAAGTATACAATTGAAATTAAATTCAATTAAAAAAAATTTAATAAAATAATTGTGAACAATTCATTCGAATAAAATTTTATCTAAATAATCATCTAAATAAAAAATTATTCGAATAATACCTTACTCTGGTTGCTTAACATTTTTGAGACATGACTACATGAATCATTAGCCACTAAGTTCATTAAAAGCTTCAAGAGTAACATTATGGACTATTTAAGCACATAAACTATTAACAAACATAGAAAAAAAAGTCTACAAATAAACTATTAACATTCAAAATAGACTAATACAAATTGAACTTTATGTAAAAGTTTCTAGACTAAGCAGAAAAAGACAAATCATTTGGCATTGGTTTCAAAAAGATCTTATGAATATTGAGTATGTTATGCAATGCTAAGTTTAGTAAATTTGAATATTAGTAGTATATCATGTATGACAAACTGTTTTTTAGCTAATATATAATGTTCTAAAATTAATATAATAAACTTATTGTAATAATTTCTAGACTAAGAAAAACAAGACAAATCTTTTGGTTTTGGTTTTAAGATGATCCAATAAATATTCAATGTTCTAAAATAATCTAACACAAAACTTTATAAAGATTAATAGTAACTTTAATATAGAATAATAGCTTATTACTTATAAAACTAATTTAAAATAAACATAATATATAGTTTGTCGCATATAATTTATTCAACGGCCAACCAAACAGTCATCAAGGCCATAGTAGTGCCACTAAAATATAATAAACGGACATTCCTATGCATAAAGTCAACTGTTCTAAAATGAATAAAAAATTTTAACACTACTAAAGTAGTTTTAAAAAATATTACTAACATTGAAAACTTATAAAAATCTTATTTTTTGACACTTATTTATTGGCTGTGATGTGATGGTCAATAAACACCTCTACTCTTAACACAATACATAGATCTTAAAATAAAAATTTTAGTGAAATGGACTGGTATATACATGAAATTTGACGCATATCATATCCAGCTCACAGAAATACGGAATACCATATTCACATTCATTAGAATCCATTTTTTACTTGTTAACTTTAACATAAGAGCAGATTACTTTAAATCAAACTAAGCAATAATAACATGAACTATTATCTGAGAAGTGAGAACTGATTTTTTGTAATAATTTAAATTTTTAAGCACTTAATGATTATTTGAAAATAATAGATTTCAACAATCTCATATTTCATTTAAAAATAAAAATGTCATATACAACACAAAATAAAACTCAATAAGCTTACCTTAAATGTGGTCATAACTCATCTCGTTTCAATAATAAATTTACCACTTGAAAACCCGGTGTCTTGAAAAACTATGTATACATTATACGTTAAAAATCCGTAGACATCACATGCGCTTGAAGCATCTTTTAAAATGAAAAAAATATGTGTCAATTCTAAACGAAGACCGCAAGACAGTATATATATATATATATATATTTAAGTTTAGCGGAGTGCGGATTTCACAACAACGATATACATATATATGGCTCGAAACGCGAAAGGTGTAAAACGTTTGATTTACAAGCACAAACGCAACACACAAGACAACTGAACTTGGCGAAGGTAAAAGTCTAAAACGGGCGCACACTTGGACACTTTGACGAAGTTCACTAGACGGTCTGAGGTGGCAACGTGCCGACAACTTGTTACCATGAAAGCGTCGCACGGAGGAGTGACTATACTTCATGCCGGTGTCTCCGACAACACTAAAAAATATGCTATCCGAAATTAGTGGCCAATGACCCTATATCACCTGAGATAGGGCAATATCTGTACGTAATCTTTACGGCTGTTATAATTCCGTAAAGATATGTGATTGTGAGGGCCGTTGATCAACTAATCCGTTTTTACTGTCGGGCAATCGATTTCAGAATAGCATATAATAGGGCCATCGACCCCAGAGGAGAGGAGTCGCGATTAGGGCGGCAATAAAATCCATTTGGAGTTATCGCACTCGATAACTTGCGCGAACACGATCATTCCAACGCCGTATGTAGTTTTTACAAATACTTTAACAGAATGCTGTACGCGAATGGAATGAATACGATTTTTTATAAACACAATATAGGTACCTTTCAATAAATCATTTACTAACCCATTGTGGTGGGCGGCCGGTCAGATTAAACTGCAAATATACCTATATAGGTGTTGTTATTTAAGAGGGTGACTTAAATCGCAAAATTCGGTACTAGGAACATATGTGTAACATGTATCTTCTTGGTAAGACGATCATTCTGATGCTGTACGTAGTTCACAAATACTTTAACAGAGTGTTGTGCACTATTGTGCGTGAATAATATGAATAATATTTCTCAAATTTTATTATTTCAAAACATTTGAAATTTAATATATTCGACCGATTCAAGATATTATTTTTAAGCTATATTTGATTTCATATAAAGTATAGAATAGATATTATTAAAACCGGTCCAAGGTTGAATTCAGATATTTTGCGTCTAAGGAAAGTATTTTTCTCTCCTTTTGAATATAAACCATATTAATATGTAATAAATATTCAACAGTTTAATTGTAAATTAATAAATACTAACAGAATGCATTTTGATTCAAAAATTTCAAAATAACAATATGACAGCAGATAAAATATTTTTCATATAATAATGTTATTATTGAATGTTTAGGCTGTAAAAATAATAATCAATAATATATGTTTAATCCATTCTAATGGTTTAAAAGACAAATAGTCCCGACTACAACTAATATGCGTCATGCGATCAGGGGTAATTATTCATATAT